GTATAGCGCATGTATTAAAACCCTAAGTGTACTTTTGGGGCATTTTCTCTTTTGATTTGGCAAACCGTGTATATGTTCAACTTTTGAAAAACTTTTGTATGTCATTCTGATTTGTAATCGCTAAAAGTTCAGATGTGATATGTTTGTTAGCTATTTCGGTTGGGTTCTGACGGTCGGCTTACTATTCATGCGCCGACTCCGGATTTCATTTTTTTTATTTTGGGTTATTTTACCATTTTGACTTGTTTACGCTCGTTTGTAAGTCTGGAAAGAAGCAGATAGCTCTAATCTGATCCGTAGTCCTGGCGAGAGCTGGGCAGGCAGTCCGCTAAGCCCTTTGGTTCGCCTTAGGGGAAAGTGGGGCTGTCACAAAAAGTCTGAACTTTTCCAATTCGTTTGGAGCAGCGTAAGTTTTTTCGAAAGAAATTAGAATTCCTATGAAAGTTTTCACTCCCTACAATACTTTCAGGTGGGTTTTTGTTCAAAAATATTTACAGAGTAACTACAAAGCATAATAAGAAGAACAAGCCATGTAATTACTTTTTACCCTACTACACCACCAATTCGTGAATATCTATCTAACAAGACAAAAAAATACTACAACAAAAGAAAAATCTAGGGCCTTGGATCTCTTTTCCCATGCTTCAATCTCCCAAGACAGCTTTTCCCTCTCGATTTAAGAACTTCATAGAACTAGACCTTTAGGTGAATTAGAAGAAATAGGATGATGAATGTGCTTTGATGTGTTTAGTGTGTGTGATCTGTTATGAAAAAGGAATTCTAAAGGAGAGAAGTAGGATGAGGATTGAAAATTCTGTAGGTGAATTTGTCATCTCATTCAAAAGATGAGAGTAGATAGTGGATTGCACTCTAATCTCATTTAATGTGTTTAGTTGCTGAAGTTGTTTTTCACTGATCGTATAAAACTACTTCTATGGGAAATGATTTTCCAAAGTAATAACATAACCAAATACAAAGGCTTGCTAATGGCTGCATGTTATTAGAGCTCTACCGATTCAAATTTTTTACATGTTTGATTTTGGTGGTTTTTGGGCTCAATCTTTTGCATCTGAAAAGACTAGACATTCTTTCTTATGATGACTGCTAATTTTTGTAATTTTTTGCTTATTTGAATCCACTTAGATCTTTCTTCTTCTTTCATTTTTTGGGCCTTGTATCCACTTAGATCTTAAAGAGTGCAGATTTTCTCATTGCAGATTTTAGTTTCCAAATGTACACAAGCATCGCAAACTGTTTGCCTATGATATGATTATCAATTGTGCTTTTACATTGTTTAAAGTATTATTTCAATTGTCTAGACAGACTGTGACAGCCCCACCTCACCCTAAGGCGAACCAAAGGGTTTGGCGGACCGCCTGCCCAGCTCTCACTGGGACTCAGTCATACCTCAAACAAAAACCGGAATAAAACCATAGGAATAAGAATAACAACAATCCCAAACTTAAAGCGAAACTTATGTACATTGCTATCCCAAAAGAGAGTACAAACTTCGAATATACAAAGGTTTTCAATTCTTCGTACATCCAGCCCATGCCAAACGCTAGGGCGAGAACCATTACAAAAGAATCAAAAGAACTAGACTGGCTAGTCTATACCAGCTCTTGTCCTTGCTCGCCTTCCCCTGTTAAGGAAAACAAAACTAAAGAGATGAGCTAAAAGCTCAGTGAGGTTCCGAACACATAATCAAACAATAAGTTAAACACTATGTCAAGAAGCATTTACAATGGAAAGCGATAATAACACATTCATTAAAAGGATACGTACTCATAGGGAGCCATTCATTCATTCATTCTCCTTTCATTCCCTTTTTCCTCCAATCATTTGAAAATGCATTTTTGTAAGTAAAACCCCCCATTTGCATTCACATTCATTCGTTCATTTCATTCACCCCCTCCTGGATGTTGGCCAGGCTCCACCAGACTACAAGGTAATACTCGAGTATACCAAACATTCACCCAGGGTCACCATATCGCCCGATCGAGTCCGCTTCTGGCTCGAGTCGATCGGTAACAAAGGGCAGGGCCCAGTTCAACCAAAAGGCTTACATTCATGCACAAGTAATTTTTCAATCATTAAATCATTGAAAATTTCACATTCATTTAGGTCGAGTGCGATAAAGTACACACTCGCCTAGAAAACTCGTTTTGACAAACATTGAACGCATTTAACATGTTATCAATCGTTCATGCAAGCCATATAATCAAGAAAACATAACAAACGAGAACACTCACTTATTTACGCAAAAAAACGTCCAAAATATCCCTCCGGATATTACCCGCAGTCACCGACGAAACCTAAGATTAAACGAGAGAGAATATTACAGTTCATCTAACAAAACAATTAAGTATAATCGAAGAAACCCGACTAATTACGAGTAAAATGTATAAAGATGACTTTAAAGTGAAAAGAGGCATTTGGATCGAAAGATGGAAATAACTAAGGGTTTCACAAATCAAACATAAAATGAAACTAAAAAGGTTATAAAATTTCCAACGGAAAATGCTTGGACCGAAGACAAATCAAAATCCGGCTAGCTAGGCTAAAGAAATATTTTTCTGAATCATTTATGTGGCTCAAAATCAATATATATTCAAGTAGATATTATATAACAAGTGTCTTGATGAAAATCATGTGAAAAGGAAGCTAAACAAACCCTAAATGCACACCTAAAACCTCGCTTGATAAAATTAGGGTTTGTAGCTGAGAAACCCTTCGCAATTTTTCTTTGTTTTGGAAAGAAATGAGTAAATATTTGAAGTTCAAAACTTGACATTTGTAACTAAGTATCATGCTTAAAACGGTTGTCACCTTCACCATGCGAAAAGGTACAAGTTCAAATGGAATCTAGTTCAAGTAACACCATTAAAGTGGACCTAAGTGAGTCTAAGAAAAGTAAGTCCAATGCATCCCCAAATCACATTTCAAATCTCACTTTTACTTATTCAAACTTCAAGAAAATAAACGGACAGCATTTCTCCTTAATTTCTTCACTTTCCATCCTACAATCACAGACCAAATCTCATCCCAAATCAAATACAGTTTCACATACAAATCATAGGCGATAAAACACCTTTCGGCATAACAACCACAACCGAAGCTATACTTATCAGATGGAAACAAATCTTATGCCGTTTCGAAGCCAAGACATATACCTACATTTCTTGTGAAGACCTCCAAAGCCAAATCATGCATTTTCATGGTCAAAAATGGAAATCTCCACGAAAACAGAAATCTGTTCGCGAAACAAGGCTCATGGGCAGTCAAGGGTATTTAAGTCATTTCGTATACTACAGTACTCGGATCAAGGTGAAATTTTGTAGGCAGCTAGTTAATACCATTTTCTACAACTTTCATGTTTTAATCTAAGCCTGATTCGGCCTCCATCATGGCCAAACAGAACCAGCCAGAACAGTGTAAGATGAAACCCTAAGCTGGAATTTCCGCACCAAACCAGAAATTTTCCGCAACCAATCATATCCAACATATACCTACTCCATTTTACACTATAACAAGACATCAATCCATGAATAAACAATAATTATGATATAAAAACAGAAAAATCACTAATAAATAAAAAATCCATCAAAACTCCACTTTCAACCATAAAACCTACCACAAATCAACATATTTAGCCACTAAAGCCACTAATTTGACATTAACAAGAACAAAGAGAAAGTTTCCAAGCAAGGTACCTTGACACTTCAAGAAAGATGGTAGTTTAGTTCTTCCTCCTCCAAAATTAATCCACCAACACCTTTAAACTTTCCTAGTGATCACTTGTATGGATTAGATTCAAGTTTGGTTGGCTAGATCACAAGATTTGAGCAAGAAATGAAGCTAGAAAATGAAGAACTTTCCTCTCTTGTTTTGCTCCTCAAGAAGGCCTGCCAAGACAAAGAAAAATAGAAGAAAATTGGGTCAAAATTGGTTTTTAGTAAAGGCAAGAAAGTTAGGCAAGTCCAACTTCCAATCGTGTCGCGACACATGGCACTCTTAATGGTTCAAACTTATCTTCTTTCTTCCAATGGTTAATCTATCTAGCTAACCTCTAATTATCTCCTAGTACCTTGTAAAATAATAATACTTAGCACAAAAATCACGTAATCACCAAAATTTTATCGCACTAGCGGGTCCCACGTCTATAATGCGTTTCAAATTTAATATACACTAACTTATACTAGGAAAATGATTTAAAACTGTACTTGCTTATAAAAATGCATAGAAACTTTAATATTTTAAAGGCAAGTATAAAAATGTAGGCAAAAAATAAAATAATGCCTAGAAAATGTGAAAATTTTCGGGTTCTCACACAGTCGATTGAATTGTACAGTGCAATAGCTAACAATAGCTTATATAGCAGTTAAAGAAACCTATATCTATACTATTCTCTGTATTGATTCTGCCTCCCCTTGAATTTGCCTTCCTTCCACTTATCCCTTCACTAGGAGAGGAACACCGCACCCTGTGCGGTGTGATGTTACATGTTTAATATGCTCAGTGGGAAGTTAAAAGACTAATATGACCAGAGCCCTCATTGGATGTATTTTTCCAACTAAAAATTATTTTTTTATCATTTTCTGTATGTGGTAGATAATGAAGTATTTTGTCAACATTTCAATTAAGAAAAGAAATAATACTAATAAAGTTGAAGAGCATAATAACACATAATTGAGGTAAGCTCCCCAACTGTACAATGCATCTCATTACCTTTGAAAAGTTACAATTTAAGATATAAGATACATTCATCTAGAAGTATTGACTGCTATATCTAGAAATGCCTCTCGTCTTTTCTTATCTAGTCTCTAGTGTCGCGTTCAATCAGCCAATTCTAGTGGAACTATGTATTAGTAGTGAAAATTTCAAAAAAAATCTTCACAAAGTTTGATATCTATACTATAGCAAGTGGTTGTTGACGTAAATAATGACTTTTGCTAAAGATATTAGAAAGGAGAAAACAAAGTATCAAGCATTCATGACAAAAAACCACGAGCTTCCACTAGCTTCCAAGTTACAGCTATCTAAATATCAATCAGATCTGCCAAGAAGGAATTATATTAGAATTTAAAAACATTTTGTGTAAATAGTAGAATGACAATCTTGTTAAATCACAGGTAACGCACCCATAGTTTTTGCCACACTTCATTGCAAAATTTTAAGGAAATACTAAAGCATGAAATATAAAACAAAGTCGTCAAGAACACATTCCGTACTCCTAAGTTTAAGCGCCACCATTAGATTTGAATAATACCTCTTGCCATTCAACTTTTTCTCAAACATTAATGTTGGATATATAAATAAAGAATAGACAGCCAACAAATAGCAGATGCATTTTGAGCCACCATCTTATTTTGATAAATACCTCCTGCCAGCCAATTTTTCTCAAACATGAATGCTAGGTAAATAAATAGAGAACAGAAAATCAAAAACAACATGCATTTTGGCTTATAAATCATGTAGTTATATTTCATTCGTGCCATATTTTCGCCAAGACAACATGAATGAACATAGGACATCAATTTAAACTAAAAGAAAATTTTCTCTTCTTTCTTAAAAAGCTCAATGACAGAACAAAAAGCTCCAAAAAATCAGGCAAAAGCTACAGAGAAATTTCAATATATTAGTTTGGTTTTTGTTAGAGTTTATTTTTTAAATCCTGAAACGCAATTTATTCTCTATGTAATTCTTAGATTTTAATTTTCTTTTTTACATAAAGGTGTTAGAAAATTCTAGTTACCTAATTGAGAAAAGGTGGAGAAGCTAAGGAGTAATCACAACCTATTGATCATTCCCCAGTATACCCAATTTGGCTAGAAATTTAGGGCGGCAATATTTAAACTTACAACTAGGATGGAACACATGAACATTCTTTTTCTATATACAAAGATCTTATCTTAGAGGTTCTTTTAGCCATTTCAGTTACATCATTCCAACTGCTCAAACATGAAAGCATTGGGAGGTACAGGACAGCGAGTAACAAAAGCTACAATCAGTCAATATACATCATTTTCTTAGAAATTACTATGTCTAAAGAGTAATTCAAAAATGACACCATCAAAGCAGAGAAAAAAATTTATAATGATTTCATTAGTAATCATAACTTTCAATGAAATAGGGTGAAAATAATTGCTATTAAACCTTGACTAAAGATCTTACTGGAGCAGCCAAAGAAGACTTGCAACCTCTTATTGATGAATTTACTAAAATAGGTAAAAACTAAAGGAACTGACTCTAAATCTAAAGGAACTGCAGTACCTTCACAAAATTTCATACTCCACTTTTTTCAAGAATAGTAAATAGGGTAAAGTGACCAGAAAATTATAGTAAAATGCTAAGAAAAAAATGAAGAGAACACTAAAACATCAAAATATACCTTTAAGGCTAAATGAAAAAAATTAGTCTCCTTTTTGCTTTGTTCCTTCATCTAACAAAAATTTAGAATAAATAAATATCAGAAAAATCCAATTTATTAGGAAAAATAAAAGGAAAAATGAAATTATATTAACTTTTCTCTATGGGAAAAAAACAGAGAGCCGATACAATGCTCACCTTGAGAAAAGAATTCGCAGATCTTAACATCTCAAGCTACAACAAACATTTGAAACTTATGAGAGAGCATAGATAATTAATATGTTAGACCATCACATCTATCATAGGATATGTGAGACCACAATAAGGAACAAGAAAATGACAATAAAGCATAAGGGTTAGCATGAAGTGAAGAAATTGTGTTTCCCAATTAATAACCAGACATTAAGCACTAAACGTCTAAAATGCATTTCCAAAATTTCATAACCAGTTCATACCGACGCAATACTTTTTCAAGTTGAATATATTCCTTTGTAATAAAATCCAAAAGCATAACATACAAAGGACACAAAGGAAGGGGGAAAGGTGATTTGTTGCTTTTAGCCAAGGAAAGATCAGCAAAAAAATGTCAAAAAAAAAAAGCCAAAGGCAAACCTGAAGTGAACATTTTGCCAAAAACTGAACTATTCTTTCCTTCTTCTCGTGCTCCATTAGTCTTCAAGATATGCAAATCATGTCGATCTAGGTGATAAGAAAGCAAAACAAAATATTAACAGATCATGATTTTGTTTAGCGAGTTAAGGAGACTTGCCTGTTTTTTTTTGGAACACCCTTTTATTTCCTCTTCTCAGAGGCCAAGGGAGATTTTTTGTGGCTCCCAAAAGAAAAAAAGAATTATACAGAAAAGTTATGGCAAGCAAAAAAGGGAGAAATTATACATAGAAAAGGGAAAACGAAGGTGAAAAAATAAAACTTGTGAGTAGCCAGATGAAAAATTAGTGAGCGATCTACAAGATCACACAAAAAATTGTGGTCCAAAAGAAGTAAGAAATTAGGCATAAAAATAGCAAATTAACAATATAAAAGAACCTGGTATCAGATTTTTAGCTTCCAATAGTGGGGAAAAAATTAGATAGAAGGGGAGGAGATAAAAGGAGAGTTGAATTTAAGGAAGACTTCTTCATAAAATGAGTCTTCAGAGGTTTTGGTATGGAGAAGAAAGATGATTTTGGATGGACAAAAGGGCAGTGAGGAGAGATGATTGAGAAAAAGGAGTCATGGATAGGTGATTTGCAGCGGAGAGTGGTTACCTCGAGCCACGTCCACACACCTTATCGTTTCTTTGGCGCAAAAGACGAGGAAAGTACTTTTACTAATTGCATTGCCTAAGGTAATTTTTTTCGTCAAACAAAAAAAATGGTAACTAAGTGTGATTTGTTGGGTAACCAAAAAAAATGACGTTATAAATTGCATCTAAATGTGATTTCTTGCATCATTAATTAGTTATCACATGACGAGGAGAGTAGAACAAGAAGAAAAAAATTGAGAATACTAGCCTGGGCTTGTATAAAAAAGAGGTCGCGTATGCCGCAGAATATGATTATAACAGCAGAAGCTATCAAAGAAACCACGAGCAAGCAAGAGGCAATAAGAAAAGGTGGGAAAAAACACGAGCGACGGAAAAAAGAAGCTGATTTGGTGATAAAATATAGCAGGGACAGGGGAAAAGTAAAAATGGTCGAACCAGTGCACAAGAAAGTAGAGAATCAAGGAAGAAATAGAAAACAAAGCAGCGTAAACTTTTTGACCAATTGCTTAAATATCTTAAAAATCACACAAAATTCATTCTTGTCTTCAACCTCTTGGCTGATTCTCTCTCTAGCAAAGAAGGAAGAAAAAACCTCTTCAAAGTTTGGCAATTATCTAGCTCAAATCCTCCAAAACACTTGCTTGATCTAGTTTCTACTCCATAAAACCTCTTCTTTTAGTGATAGTGAGTTGTTTGGTGAAGTTGTTTGGAAGCTTAAGGTGACAAGTAGCTCTCCCTCTTGTTTTGCTAAGGTAAGTGGTGGATGAACACCTCTCCTTCCTCTAATGATGTTCAATTCATGATTAGTGGTGTTATAAGATGCAATTTCATGGATTATTTCTTGAGTTTGGTTGAATTGGTGAAGTTTTATTATTTTTGGGGTTTTTTCTGTTTTCATAGGGATATGATTGGGTGGTCATGTATGATGATTGGAAATGATGTTTAATGACTCTAGGAGGTGGAAAAAGTGATTAAGTGCAATCAATTTCTATTTTGGAAGAAATTTCAGAAAATTAGGTTTTGTAGTTCTTCATTCTGCCCGAATTTATTGCACCATGTTAGAGGCCGAATTGGACTTTGCTCAAAACATGAAAGTTGTAGGTATTGATGAGTTTGAAGTGCCTGTAAAATTTCAGGTCATTTGGATTAGTGTAGAGTGAGATATGCCGATTTTATTGTTGCTGTTCTGGGTTGATCAGAATGCGAAAACTGCACTTGTAATTGGCCATTTTGACTGGAATTGCTTTGGATTTAGGTGTTGGTGTCTTCTGATGAAATGTATCTGGATGTCTTAGCTACCATATGCCTTTGGAATTTTGGCATTTGGACCTGTATAGACTGAGTTATAGTAATTACAGCATTATGTGATTTGTAAACCTGTTTTTGGTGTTTCCGGTTGAGTATTTGGCACATTTGACCTAGTTGTGCTAGGATTTGGACTGAGTGGCCTTCTACATTGTTGTAGACCTATCTCTTAGCTTCGAAACGGTGGGTCTTACACCCCCATCCGATAATCATAGTGAAATTGACACCATTACCGCAAAATGACGTCAAAACTGTTTTTCTGGTTTTGAGCTTAACCTTCATTTCCGGACTTTTTCCTAGCTTGACTTGTACTAGTACTACTTGGAGCTTGCTGAATGGATATTAGATGAACTTATTTGTGTGACTTTGGGACTGGCTGAAGAAATAATGAAGCCATGATGGCTGGGAAAGTAAGCAAATTTAGGGGAAGTGCTGTCCGAACTTTTAAAGGGTTTGATTGCTTTGAGTTTGTGATCTAAGACTTGGATTTGAGCAAGGCAGTGATATTTGATGGATGATTTCTGAGCCATGGAGGTGAGTGACCCTAAACTGTTTCCAAAGTTACTTTTGAAATGTTCCTTGCATTGTTTCTTTGGTTTGCATATCATGTGTGCGCGCATACGAGTTCTTGACATGGTTTGGCTTTAATGAGTTCTTGAGGAGTCTTGTGCTGGACACCAACGTCTCCACCACTTTCGTGAGTTTGTGATATGATCTGGAGCACCGATGCTGCTCCCCTTTAATGTTTATGGTTTCGTGATCTGTTTGAGCGTTGGGTGTTTAGTTTCAATGATTTCACTGGCTCACGAGAGCAAAAATACGTGCATTTGATACTTGAATCATGACATCATGACATCATCGAAATGAATTATTGTGAAAGATATTTGATTACTGGTTTTATTTGGTTACTCGCTGAGCTTCTAGCTCACCCCAAAAATATTTTATTCCCCTCCACAGGGCTCAAGGCGAAGGCAGGACTTGTTGTGCTTATTCATGTGAATGGATGGATTATCTCGTGTATGGTTTGAATTTGGATTTCCTTTTGTGTAATAGTTATTATTAGGGATTGTAATGAATGTTTGGAATCGATCGGATGTATACATACGTTCCACGCTTGGAATTAGTTTCCGCTTCGTTTTGTTTATATGTAAATATTGGAGATTTACATTGTAATATTTGAGGTTTATTCTTGTAATATATTTGAGGATTGTAGTGAACGACTGAGTCCCGGCGAGAGCTGGGCAGGCGGCCCGCCGAACCCTCAGGTACGCCCTAGGGGGAGGTGGGGTCGTCACATAGTTCATAGTTGATTTAGGTCAAATTTTCAAATTACAGAACCAGAAGTTCATGGTCAGTCTGGTTGTCAGTACTGAATTCAAATGGCAATAACTCAAGCTACACAATTCCGTTTGAGGCATTTTCAGATGCATTGGAAAGATGAAATATAGGGCTAAAATTTTTGTGTTTTGGCCAAAGGATGATTTGATACGGATCAAGGTGAAAAATGAAGCCAAACTTGTGAAATTTCAAAACTGTCCACGAAATGAGGCTTTTGGCAGTCAGAGGTATTTTGGTCATTTCACATGATACAGGGAGCATGATACAGTGCTCAGATCGAGCTGAAATTTTACAGGAAGTTTTTAGGAAGTTATATAACAACCTTTATGTTTTAACCTAAGCCTAATTCGGCCTCTAACATAGACGAATGATGCTAGTCAGAACAGGGTAGTTTCAATCCTTAAAACTGGAATTTGATGAAACCAAAGTAGAAAATGCTCATTCATGTCTTACACCACTATCCCAACTCCCTATCCAAGAATATAGACATCATATGTTCTCTAAACAACAAGTAATACAATTGAGCAACTCAAACCCTGACTCAAAATCCACCATATCCATCAAAACTACCAAAAGAACTATCATTTGCCACAAGTATGAGTTGTTATACAAACGTAAGCAAGAGTAAGGAAGAGATAAAGGAAGACAGCCATAATACCTCTCTAAGATGCTTGCAAGAGAAATTCTTCGCCTTTCCTTTCAAAAACTTTAGCACACCAAGCTTCCTAAGCTCCCAATTTAGAGGTTAATCGGTTTAGATTTTCGGTTTTCACTCACCTAAGCTAGAAATCAAGATGGAATGAAATGGTTTTCACTCTTTTCTTTTTCTTCTCATAAGTCATGACCAATATGAAAGAAAATAAAGAAAAATGAGCCAAGAAGAAAGATAAGAAGAAAGGAAAATGTCTTGGTCAAGACCTTGGTTGGATTCTTGACAAATGGCTTAATCACAAATATTTCCACCAAAATACCTCTCTTTTCCTTAGTCAATAATGGTGGCTGACTTAAGGGTTAATTAAGAGCTAATTAGCTCAACTAAACAAGGAGATTAAGGTAATAAAGTGATGGTCTAGTGGTGTATTCCATCAGTAGCGAACGGTACCCGTCGGTTCAAACCGACTTTCCTTAAATCGCGTGTACTAGGGTTTTATCTTATGATTCCCTAACTTATTATTGTAGACACCAAATTTTTGGTTTCGAACTTTATTTATTTAATTAGTTTAATTTTAGATTTATTTGTTTCAATTTTAGGTTTATTTTAGTTGATTCCTGTTTCGTGTCTCTTATTTTATTTTAATTAGTTTACGAACATTTATTTTTATCTACCAATTTAATTAAAAAAAAAGAAGGAAAATCATAAAAAAAAAGCAAGCAAGCTCACGTCGGTGAGCTGCACAGGATCCAAACTCTCTCTATGTATCTCATTCAGACACAACAAAATGGCATCAGCTTCTGGGGGATTCTAGAAAAAATCATCAAACGGCTCTAAAGAAAGCAGGAGAAAATGCAACTTCATCGATACCCTTGCTGTGAGGGTTTGAAGTTGTGGGTTGGGTATAAATAGAACAAAGGAAAGACGCAGCTAGGGGGTTTTGGAAAAAAAACAGCAAAAGAAAGAAACAAAAAGAATAGGTGGCGGCTGGAAAAATCTGAAGGGTAAGGAATCTGGGGACTGGCGGCTAGGGTTAGAGAGTGAGGGAGAGATACCAAAAAGGAAATTGGGGAAAGGAGTTCGAAAGGGAGAGAGAGAACTACGGCTGAGTGGGGAACAAAGGAGAGGAGATCAAGAGAGGAAGCTGCGGGGTTGAAGAGAGAAAAGGAGAGAAAGACAAGGAGAAACGCAGGAGATATGATGGCTGGGGTTTTGAGGGAGGACAGATAGCAAGGAAAGGAAGGGTTCTGGGCGGCGAAAGAAAAAGGGATAACGGCGAGGGTTTTGAGTGAGAGCAAGAAAAACTGAGAAAGCTGAGAAACGGCGGAGAGCTTCGTGGGGGAG